CTAAACCTTAAACCCTAAACCCGAGCTCAGGTCGAAGGATTGACGGTCTTCCGGCTGCCTCGTAGGTGAAGGAGTCCTTCGGCACGGTGAGCGCCTGCCACATAGGCGTTCTCTGAATTAGGGTTTAGGGTATGGGGTTTAGGGCCTTTGGTGGGGTCCTTCTTTCCAAGGGTGCCGTACTATTTTGGGGATCTCAAAAGGGACCCTGATTTTGAGAACTACCCACATGCAGCATGCAGTACCGAATGTAGGCTTCAGGTGATGCACTCCCAGAGAGCCCCCAAACCCCTTAATTAAGCAATACAAACCTTAAACTGTAAGGGGCTTGCTACCATTATTAGTATTGTTCTGTTTCTGCTTAGTATTCGTATTATGACTTAAAGTATATTCCTTAGTTAGAGGGGTATTGGGGCTCTCTGGTCTAAACTCGGCCTGTAAGAGGTCACGAGCTTCGTTAACAGAGCTGGCTCTTCTGCTTCCCAGTTCATGACATCTCCCGCCTTCTCAAAGAAGCACTGAACACATAAACCAAGCGGTAGGTCTGGGCTTCGGGTTTAGGGTTTAGGGTTGTCTGGGCTTCCTGCTTTTCTTGACGTCGCGGCTTTGGTTTATTCTTCATAGCGTATTAATATGGAAACCAATATTCTCTGTTCGGCGATTTATAGAAGTCCAAAAGGAATTCGGGCCCTACGCCCCAACCGTAGTCAGTCCCCTTTTTTCTAGACCGGTCAGGTAAACACAGGTTCATCTTTGGGATCATGCAAGATGTAGAGGCTATATTGATGTGACATCACAATGCCCAGACGAGGTTCAAGACCACATGTTACATTAGACATCCCAAGACCCCAGAAAGCCGGAAACCTAAGACCACCAACCCACAAAAATGTAGGAGCAAAAACCGTACACCCGAGACCTCAGACCCCACCCAAGCCGACAAACCCACAAAACCTTCATACTTTAAAGCCCTATGCAAGCCCCGAGCCCTACCACAAAAGCGCCAAACAACCCGAACCTAAAAGCTCCTGAACCCTTGTATAACCCTACAAGACCCGGATAAGACGTCTATAGAACCCAACCACCAAAAATCCTGAACCCTAAACCCTCGCCTAAACCAGAACCCTAAACCCTACCCCTCAGGGTCCAAGTAGTCCTTATTAATGGTTTTAGGCACCCCAATGTCCTTGAATAATGCGCACTTGGACCATAAAAATCCTAATTAAACCCCAAACCCCGGCCTAAACCCTACTAGAGAATCCCCAACCTCCGAACCTCCATCCACTCCAGCACACGGAAGGAAACCTTCACGGCGTGTGCCCGACCACAGGACCTGGCTCGGCGCAACTTCAGGTTGTTCCTTGAAGGCCGTTCGCGCCTCCACGGTTTTAAGGGTTTAGGGGTTCAGAGTTTAAGGTCAAGGGTTATTTTATCGCTAAATCGTAAAACCCCTAAACCCTGAACCCTGAAGATTCTTGGATGCAGGGCTGTTGGGGTTTCGGGGGTTTCGGGCTTTCGCGAGTTCTACATGCCCTCATCAGACAGAGCCCAGGCTATAGGGATATCGCGGTGGGGAGTCCGTGCCTAATTTGCTGTGCTAGTGCCAGAGCGTGTGCTGTGAGGCGCATGTCTAGGTTTCGAGACAATCAAAAGCCTCAATCCGCGAGAGACCTACGCGACAGAAATCTTGAACCACAGATCCTGAACAAACCCGGGCCATGAGGGAACACTACGTCCTGTGCCGTCATTCCGTAATCCTCGACGACACGTGGTGCGAGAATCTTGACCGAGACACATCACTGTCGACACTATAGTAGTCCGGATTGAAGGTCGTCATTTTCATCCCTGTCACCGCTACGTATATTCGTTCTCATCGAATCAATAACATCACCGTCATCATGACCGTCCCATCATCTGAAATCGTCTCTCATGATCATGATGGTCTTCGAGAGGATCAAGAAAGCCAATGTTGTCATCGAATTTGTTATTTGCCTCATCGTCACCACCATCATGCTCTCATGGTGCTGCTGGCAGGGACGGTGGTAATGAGTTTGGGAAGTGCGGCGGCGGCGGAGTGAACAGTAAGTGGTACATGTGATGTACACGACGGATAATTATGCTGGATATTGCTGGTGTGTGCACGACGTCTGAGTAAACTTGCGGGGCAAGACTAAGACGATGCTGGACTCTAGCAAACCCTCAACCGCCCCAAATGCTAAACCCTGCCCGACCCTATCCCTATCCCGAGCCGCTGGCAGAAGGAGCTCATTGAAAGCTTCGGTGAAAGACCTCTCCCTGCCGTAGCAAAAGAATGTTCCCAGGGCTTCTACTTATAAGTTTTCCAATTGTAGTTTGGGGCTTGGACTTTGGGTTGGGGTCTCTGTCATGGGGTACAGCGGGGCCTGCAGAGGTTTGATGGAGAAAGACGGAATTCCCTTGAAGAGCCACAAGAAGAACTCGCAACAACTTTCGACTCTGCCTGGACCCTCAAGCATAACATCTTGAACAGGCCCTAAACCCTAAACCCTAAACCATTCCCTCCCTCTTTAAGTATGCTTGGGTCCTGACACCGCCTTCCGAAAGCGCAGAGCGTCTTGAACTTATGGCTGAGGCGTTATTTTGGGCTTTAGGGTTGAGCAGGTTTGGGTTTAGAGTTTAGGGTTTAAAAATCAGGGTTGAGCATGTTAGGGTGCAGGAACGTGGCCGAAATTTGGAGTTTTGGGGGATCGAAGTTTGGGGAGTAAGGCGTTGCGACCCTAAAACCCTCGCTGGCCTCTGCTTGAAAGCCATGTCCCGGACGGCCTTCGCGCGAGACTCCAGCTTCGGGATGGTCTCAACCACCCACCTCACTGCCTTGGACACTTGGAGGCCCAGGGGACTTAGCAAGTAGGTTATAAGTAGAGCTATAAGTGCTCTAACTGGAGTTACCCCAATTATAACCCTACTTATGACAAGTCCCCTGGACCTCCAAGAGACTCTTTTAGGTAGCAAGCTCTGGGTGTCGGCTTAGGGGTTTAGGGTTTAGGATTTAGGGTTTAATATAGGGGCCTTAGTAATTAGAATAGGGTTTTGGGGCCCTTTATACTATAATAGTAATCAGGAACCCGCAAATAGTATTGGTAATTATTTAGGCTCCTATATTAGGGTGAAAACCTGTATGCGGAAGGTCGAAGCACGGGACCAAGGCAGAAGACATGAGACATTGAGTTTATCCGGACAGTTTTCTTTGCAGGTCTCCAATGTAGGACGGCGCCCTTATGAAAAGGACCCCAAAAGGAACCCTAATTTCGAGAAGTACCCAGAAACTTGTTCGCCAAATGGCAGCAACAGCACGGCCTGTTTACCTCATCACGATGGTGCTGGCAGCTAGCAGTCATGTCTTCCAGGATTCCTTATGACTATACCTATACTGCGATATACTCCAAAGCCTTATTCAAGTTCATTGTCAAAGGCCCCTGCATGGGGCCATATTGGTCCATCGTAGTCAATCGCTTCTTCCTGGTGAAATGCGTACGGCGTGAGACTCCTGCACTGAAACATCCGCCATTTTTACCGTCAGCAGCCTTTCAAGCTTGACTCAGCTCCACCCAAACCCCAAGGCCTAAGCTGCGCTGTTTCTTCTTCTTCTTCTGAATGCTGCACGTCCATCAGGTGCGTGCTCAAGTTCTCATGCAGAAGACCGGGCTCAACGAGGCTCCACAGTTTAGGGGTTTAGGGTTTACCTTAA